AGTTGTTGGGACCCCAGGGGTTTTGTGCATCGCGTTCGCATAGGTAAGGTCGCATTCGCATAGGCTTGAGCAATTGAGGCTTCGCGTCTGCGAGAAGGATGTCGCGTTCGTGAAAGAGGAATAATTGGTTTGTGATTTTTGTGCTTCGCGAGCGCGAGGCTTGGGCCGCATTCGCGAAGAAGGAAATTATACCTGGGCAGAATGTTTAAATAGTCATCTTCGCGAATTTTAGGCCATTTCTCACCATTGTTGGCCGGATTTGAAGCTTTTTGAGAGGGATTGAAGAGGGACTCGAAGGGAAACACTTGGAGGTAAGATTTTTGAACTCAATACTCGGTTTTATGGTGATTTCTACCTAATTAGACATGAAATTAGTGGGATTTAAAGCCTAAAATTGGGGAATTAGGGCTTGAAATTGGAAAGTGTAAATTGAGGATTTGAGGGGTCATCTGAGGTCCTATTTTTATGTTCTTAGTATATGTAGACTCGCGGGAGGATAAGAATTCTATTGATGTAATTTTTATCGGACTTTGAGGCGTGGGACCGGGGGTCGGGTTTGACCAATTTCGGGATTTTTAATGTAATTTGATTATTTTCGCATGGGCTTTGTTACCTTAGCATATAGTGATGTTATGGTTCTGATTTTGGTTAGAGACGGAGCATTTGGAGGCCGAAAACGAGAGGCAAGGGCATCGCGAGCTAGGGTTTGGCTTGGCGCGAGGTAAGTAATGCTTCCAAACTTGGTTCTGAGGGTTCGAAACCCCAAACTATATGTTCAATAATTACTATTAACGTGATGCAAATGCCAAGTGACGGGTGTGTGTATCACGACCTAAACCGATGGTCCGTGATGGGCACCCGGTACCTTACTCAGCCGAGTACCAACATAATGTATCTTTTCATGTCATACTATCATAAATAAATAAGCTGGAGAGGCTGCCGTGAAATAGGTAGAATACAACAGGTAATGCCAACTTATACATAAGACATATGGGTATCTAAGACCAAAATGACCACTTGAACACTGAACATAGGCCGACAAGGCCATACAATCTTTTACGTACATGACATCTGTCTACAAGCCTCTAAGAATACATAATTTTTATAAAGGTTGGGACAAAGTCCCGCCATACCAAACAATATATATCTAACTCATACTAACCAAACAAGCAACTTCGAAGCAAATGGAGTGCACCAACATCTTCCGTTGAGCTGATAGCCTACTTGGAGAGCTCTCGACCTGTCTATCGAGACCTGCGGGCATGAAACACAGCGTCACCAGGCAAAAAGGGACGTCAGTACGAATAATGTACTGAGTATGTAAGGCATATAAATAAGTAAATAATAGACATAGAGGAAATATATAGTAAATAACTCCACATGTAAGTCTGAATAACTTTGTAAACCATGAAATAATTATAGTATCATGTATATGCGTATGAATGTCATGTCGTGCATAGGTACATGTTTTGTAACATCATCAGCCTCTGAGGGCATCCCATCATATCATCTTGGCCACTGTGGGCAAAATCATCAACATATACCAGCTGATCAGGTGGTGGTGCGTATATAACGCCGTAACCATTTTCCATATCCCAAATACATATATTTACATATATACGTGTATATAACGTCATTTGGTCATGGGCCAATGCACATGTATAAATGGGTGAATGCATGAAAAATACGTAAAAATCTCAATATTCCTTCCGAATAAACTTTTTTTCAACTGCGTATTATTCTGAGACCCATGAACAGAAGATAATAACAATTCTCATGGAGAATCAAGAATATAGACACCCCTAGTATCTCTATGAATAGAGTAATTTATGGAAACTATGCGTTTGCTCGTTTCTTCAGTATAATTTGGATCATGCCAAAAGAAAGAAGGGATGACCTTAACATACCTGGAGTAGGGAAAACTCTGTATAATATTCTTGGAGAAGATTGCACCGTACTCCTTTAGAACCGTAAAATTTTTACGTTGCTACGATTCTAGTCAATTCTTGTTATAATTGTTTGCAAGATTTTTTTTAGAGATTTTGAAACTTGGCGTCTGCTTGGAAAGTTGAATTTAGAATGAAAGAGTTAAATTTCATTCTCACTAAAATGAACTAAGCTTTTGAAAGACCAAGCTTAAAAAATGACCAAGCTTTTCTTGTAATTCTTTAGTGACTTACACATTTTAGCCACTAAGCACATATGACTAATTAGTCATATGTTTGAATGGTGGCCTACTGCCACGTGGCGAGTGGGGTGGAGATTGTTAATCTTTACCCACTTATTAGTTAACTGGGTAATGTTCCATTATCCAGTAATTAACTAATTACCCGCATAATTTAAAAATTACCCCAAATTACTTAAAATTCTACTTATTTTTAATATACTTTTTATACATTATACTACCGTGGCATATGGTATCTTACATGATACTAGTTCATAATTATCGGGAATTATCGCTCGCCCCGTATTTTATCCTAAATGCCAAACTTAGATGAAAATTTGTTTCCTTTGACTTGCTTCCCCTCTCACCTTCACGAATTTACTTATTACTTGTTTGAAATAGCATAATCCTTATAATCTCCGAATAACCTTTTTCTTGGACTGATGTCAATTACCTTACGACAAATTCAACGTACAATACTACATGGTGCAACATCGTCGTAATGTAGTACTGCGGGACGTGACATCTCACTTCCGGACTCTCATTAATTTATTTATGGCGTATTTTCACGTACGAAAATATGGGGTGTAACATTATGGGTGTGCCCCGTGAGAATTGCGGCCTGGATCATTCCATGGCACCACTTAGTGACTCTTTCTTGCTGATATCTGTATTGTAATTATGTGATTAAGTTAATGAGCTGCAAATCATGCTAATTATCACATTAAGGCTTCACGCCAATACTGTTGAGACCCGAGAGGTCGTTTCTTGCTGTCATATCATTAGCTTCATTGATATTCTGTACTCAGTCCTGTTCATGCACATTATATCATGCCCCAGTCTCAATTATTGTTATTTGACACAACATATCATTGTTCGGGCTAGTATCATGACATTTTGAGCCCGTGTGTGTGAGACTGGAGAGTGATGACTGAGTTAGGCCGAGAGCCTGATATTGAGTGACAGTATGGGATCGGGCTGCACGCCGCAACGAGATATTGAACATGCCTTCGTTGGTTTGTTATAGCGCTTGGGCTAAGAGAAGCCCCTTCGGAGTTTTTACACCCCCAGTCACGCAGTTGATGATTTTGAGGGATGGATCTTCCTTGGACATGGATCTTGTCCGAAGTATTTATATTTGGAGATAGATCTTCTCCATAGGCTGGAATGACCTTCCTCGGTACTGGATGACTATTGTCAGTGTTGCGTATATATTCTGGGATGGATCTTCCCTGGGTCTTGTGAGCCATATACGGTGCCGAGTGGTTGTGAGGTCGTTATTGATATTATTTGGAGATGGATCTTTTCTATAGACTGGAATGGGCTTCCTTAGTACTGAGTGACTATTGTCAGAGATGTATATATTCCGGGATGGATCTTTCCTGGGCCGTACGAGCTATATATAGTACTGAGTGGGCGAGCATTTGAGATTGTGGGTACATGAGGCACTAAGCGTGGTACATTTCATACAATATGTGCATTGACATGTAGAGGTAGCAGAGTTACCCTCCTTTACCCTGTTCATACTTGCTTTGTTTTACTATTCGAGTTGCTTATTTAATTGAAAGCATGCTTACGTTTCTGTACATTATTTATGTTATCCTTGAGGAGGTTGAGTTCGTCACTACCTATCAGTCCAAAGGTTAGACTTGTTACTTACTGAGTTGGTGTACTCACGTTACCCCCAGGACCACGTGTGCAGATTCAGGTACTTTGAATCTAGTGGCGGATCGTTGATCGAGGTTGCTGACTCAGAAGATTATTGAGGTATCTGCACGACGTTCGCAGGCCTTGGCTCTCCACCTAACTTTCCAGTTGTGTTTCAGTTGTTCCCTTAGACATTATATTAGACTATGTATTTTTCTTAGACGCTCATGCACTCAGTGACACCCCGGTTTTGAGCAAGATTGTATCTATTCTCTGAATTTCTTATGTTTCAAATAGTTCTTTATCTGTTAAAAGCTTCCGTAAATATTTTCAAACTTATTATTATCGTATTGATTGTTGAGTTGAGGCTGACCTAGTTTCACGATAGGCGCCATCACGACGGGTCGGGTTTTAGGGTCGTGACAATATTTAATGATTTAAATGATCAAATATATTTTGAACATTACAAAAATTTTATAGTTCGGAGCAAAAGTTTTTCATTCCAATTCATTTTTTTTTTCAATTCTACCCCCCCTCTCTCGATCGAGACGGTAATTCAAAACCTCTTATTATGCTTTACCATCTAAAATAAAATAAAAACATAATTTAAGAAAGAAATCATTCCCTGCAATATCAGAAATTATTTTATATTAGTACTCAAGATCATTTATTTTTTTCAAGAAATTTGGTGAATGACTTCAACTCTCTCAAATAAAAGATTTGACTATAATCATAAAGTAAAATATTTAATGTTAATGCTTTAAATGATCAAATATATTTTGGATATTAAAAAAGTTTTATAGTTCGAAACAAAATATTTTAATTTTCTTTTTTTACTATTATCCTCCCTTATTTTATATTGTTCCTTACTTTTTATTCCAGAAAAATTCAAGTAAAGAGTAAAGGTTTCGTCATTCCTATTTATTTTTTTTCGGTTCTAACTTTTCTCGATACTCTAATACAAAATCTCTTATTATTAAGTTTTGCCATCTAAAATATATGAACAAAAAAAATATTAAAGAAAGAGGCCATTCCCGCAATATTAGAAAATATTTTATGTTAATACTCAAAGTCATTTATTTTTTTCAAGAAATTTGGTGAATAACTTTAACTCTCTAAAATACTAAGTAGTAGCGTAGAATTACTATAATCTTAAAAAAGAAAAATCAACAAATTCAGTTTAGTAGAAGGTTGGCGAAGTCAACTACCACCACGCGTAAACTTCACTTGTTGTCCCTCAGACTCGGTCACTCTCAGCTCCACACATTGTGACACTCCGCTACTCCTCCTTCCCCCAACCTACAAAGGGCCAACAACCACCGTCCTGGGCTGTCGCCGCCGGTAACCATCTTTTTTGTTCCCCGGAAAACCAGCCAAACAATGTTAAGGGACGTGTCAGCTTGCAATACATACAATTACGGGGACGCCCTTTATTGGGATGCACGGTATTTACAAGAAGCGGGGTGCGGTTCCTTTGATTGGTACCAGCGTTACTCTGCTCTCCGCCCTTTTGTTCGAAATTATGTTCCTACATCCTCTAGGATCCTCATGGTTGGCTGTGGCAATGCTGGTAATACTTATATTTGAGCTTAAACTTTGCGTCTTTTTTGTGGATTTTTTTCGATTCTTGTTTTAATGTTTTATTATTTGAATTGCTTTGATTTGTACCCGGGTATGTGTTTCTTGAAGAAAATTTATCTTTATTTCGTTTTCCTTTTTCTGGGATTCTGTGGTTTCAGCTCAAGCTTTGCATTTTTTTTTTTTGGATCATTATTTTAATTTGACCCTAATGTAAAGATTTTTCTTTCTTGATGTGAGATTAGAATTGGCTTTAATCTTTTGATTAAGTTGTTTTGTTTCATACCCAGATATGTGATTCTTGAAGAAATTTATCTCAACTGTTTCTCTTTTTGGGATTCTCTATTTTGAGCTTAAGCTTTGCATTTGCTTTTTGGGATTCTCTATTTTGAGCTTAAGCTTTGCATTTGCTTTATTTTTGTAATTTTGATTTGCTGCTTTGTTTCGTACCTTGTTATGTGATTTTTGAAGAAATTCATCTCAATTTGACCCCCACGTCGATATTTCCTTGTTAACTGCGAGCTTAGGATTTGCATTTTCTTTCACTTCATCCTTTGGTTTGCTTTGATCTCTACCTGGTATGTGATGCTTGTAGGAATTCTTGAAGAAATGTATATCACTAGGCCCCTGCTTTTGAGATTCTCGTGCTTAATTAAGAATTAGAATTTTGCATCTTTTGTTGAGGGTTTTGCCTGATTAGTTTTGTTTTGTGTCTGGTCTTCTGATACTTCAACAAATTCTTGAAGAGGGTTGTTAATTGTAGTTTTTTATTTTGGATCGGAAGGAGCATTAATGAAAATGGAGGATCATGCCTTGTTCTAGCTTATTCGAGCTTAAATATTTCATTTTTTTATTTTATTGTTTTGCTATGTTTTCTACCTAGAATATGTGATGCTCGAATAAATTTATTTCAATTTGCTCCGAGCCAAAGCTCTCTATTGGGTGCCTAAGTGTTTTAGAAAGTGTAAAATCTTATAATAGTCATGTTTGAACAATGACAATCATGTTTTTTGGTATTGTGCATATGCTGTTCAATATTAAAAATTTAATGCATTTACTGAGATCAAAAGATCTTTTTTTGTTCAGTGATGTCGGAGGACATGGTTAAGGATGGTTATGAAGAAATAGTGAATGTTGATATATCAACAGTGGCTATTGACATGATGAGAAGGAAGTATGAGCACGTTCCGCAGTTGAAATGTATTTTAGCTGAAGAACTTCTCAATCTGATTTAGCAACCAATTTAGAATTCTGGTGTATAAAGTTTTCCTTATGAAACTGAACAGACATGCAAATGGATGTCAGAGATATGAGCGTCTTTCCAGATGAATCATTTGACGCTGTCATTGATAAGGGTAATTATATCTCCCTTTTTCATGTGCCATTTGTTAACTATTTTCTAGTCGCTGACTATCTTTTCTCTGCTTTCTGATCTTCTGTGCGATCATTTGGTCGTTACTGTAACAGGAACCCTTGACTCGTTAATGGTTAGTTCCATCTCACTCTTTCTCAGACCTCTTCAAATTTGTTAGATGTGGTAACTGATTCTACACTTTTTCAGTGTGGTACCAATGCTCCAATTTGTGCTGCACAAATGCTTGGAGAAGTGAGCAGGTTGGAAAGCTTATGGTGTTTTATTGTATTTCCTTGTAGTCGTTCGTTCTATTCACTTCCTTTCCTCCTCTGCTGCCTCAAAATACCTTAGGATTATCGTTCTTTTGACGAGTAAGAACTTACAGTTATTGTCTTTTCATGTGTAGGCTTCTCAAACATGGAGGTGTTTATATGTTGGTAACTAGAGGCCTAAATGGATTCCTAGTTGTAACTTTTATGGTATATTTTGAAACACCAAATAATTGTTCTTTACTTGCTTTGTGCAGATAACATATGGTGATCCTACAGCACGGATGCCTCATCTGAGTCGACCAGTATTTAACTGGAAAATTGAGTTATACATCATACGTAAGTTTCGTTGCAAGTCATGCAAAACATGCTCGGTCTATTATGCTAGATTATTAGACTGCTATTTGATCATTGAAATATCCTTGACAAATCAAACTATTTGGTTTACTTGTGGCATCCTTTGCAAGAGATTTTTGAAATTTATCTTTAGGCTATGTTAAAGCCAATAGGAAGGCTTATTTGTGAATTTATACATGCATGCTAGTTTTAAAATTTTAAACTTGAACATATAGGCATGTATAAGGTGGGGGTGGGATTTGGAAAGATCCAAATAGTTTAGCTTAAATTTAAGCTAAATAGTTTAATTTCTTTCTTTTTGTTTGAGGTGGAGGGGTGGGGGTGGGTTGGGGTTTAGAGAGTCTAATACTGCAAATTAAAAGTTATTGTAAATATATGTGAGATTAAAAAATAATGGAATTTATATTTGAGAAAAGAAATAAGGGAGTAAAGAATGTTTTTTGGTTAAATTACTTGAAAAGAACAAATTTGCTTTTTTTTTTTTTTGTTGACAATTGATAGCTTTTTTGTTGATAAAGTAGCTTAGGAATAGCTTTAAAATACAATTTAAGTGTATTATGTGTTATGTTGTTAAGTCTTGTACTGCTCTGTACCACCTTGGTACTTACTTTATCAATAAAATCTGACCTTATTAAAAAAAACAATTTTTTTATAAGTATTACTTTAAAATAACTTGTACTCCCTCCGTTCCAATTTATATGAACCTGTTTGACTTGACACCACGGAGTTTAAGAAAAAGATGAAGACTTTTGGAATTTATGGTCCTAAACAAATCAAAAAAAGGCCCAAAGTATTTTTGTGTTTATAAAAGCTTTTCATTAAGGGTAGAATTGTAAGTTTAAGCTAAATTGTTTCCAAATTTAGAAAGGGGTCTTTCTTTTTGGAACAGACCAAAAAAGAAATAGGTTCACATAAACTGGAACGAAGGGAGTACAATTTTCTTCTAACTAGTTACTACTTACTGTAGCATACTTAAATAATTGTTATAAACATCACAAAATTGTTATTAAGGCGTGTAATAGCAGCCATACCCACTAAGAAACTTCTAGGTCTGCCCTTAAGATAAAATCATGTCTTATATCCCTTATCTATAAAAATAAAAAATAAAAAATCATGTCCTACCCCTAAAAAATGTGATCAGCTACACTCTGACTACAAAAATAAAAAACAAAAGATCACGCCGTACCTCTAAAACGTGTGAGCTGGACTAAAAACTACTATACAGATGCTATGACATGGTTTAAAGATTACTTTTTGCTTTCCTGTTTCTTTTTTGATAAGCTAAATTCTATTCATCAGGTACCAAGGCGGTACAAAAAGGTTACAAAGAGCATAGCAAAAACAGTAATCATCCATACAGCCCTCCTAACAAATCCAGAAAATACATAAACTGAGACAGATTCACTAACAAGCTACCCTTACACCAATAATACAGATTATGAATACATTTATTCTTAATTCTAGAGATGTGGTTCCTGTGTTCTTCAAAACAAGCCTTGTTCTGTTTCCAGCCATAAGGTCCTTAAGATGTACAAAGGAATAGTCCTTTTTTTTTTGATAAGTAAAGGCTTTTATTAAAAAGGTACCAAGATGGTACAGAAATCAGTACAAACTTTGAATCTACAACAGATTCCCCATCCTGCTACATGTTCCCCCCTAAGAAATACAAAAAATCCAAATAATGATCCATCGTATCTAGAGTTTTACTAAAGCACCAGAAAAATAAGTTCTTAATACAGTTGTTTTTAACTGTAGCAATCTGTACCCTCTTCGCTTCAAAGCATTGTTTCTTTCCAGCCAGATAGTCCACAAAATACAAATGGGAATAGTCCTCCATGTCCGTTTCAAGTTTCTCTTCATTTTCTGAGCTTGCCATATTTCCAATAAATCAGTAATCTTTTGTGGTATGACCATAGCTACTCATATAATAGTAAGAAAGAGCTCCCAGCATTGTCTTGAGAATCTGCAATGAAGGAATAAGTGCTCAACAGTTTCCTGTTAGCTTTGCAGAAGTAGCATCTACTACACAAGGAATAGCCTCTCATTTACAATTTATTTTGAGTGAGATCTCTAGCTGCCAACCAACCAAAACAAGCTGCTTTCATAGGCGACTTGGTTTTCCAAATCATGTTCCAAGGCCAATTAGGGTCCTTCTGACTGTTCTGTTGTAGTAACATTTTGTAACTACTATTAACTGAAAATTGTTTATCCCTGCTATTGATCCACCTTGCTATGGTCAATTGAGACTGATTCTAACTGCTGAAGTGACAGTAGTCTTCTACCTCCCAGTCATTCAAATTTCTCCCGAGTACAATCTGCCATCCTGAGTCTGAGAAAAAATCAGCAATAGTGCCAGCCTTGTTAAAAGAGTAACTGAACATAATAAGAGTCTACTCTTCAACTGCCTGTGGAGATACATGTTAAATGGTGATGCAGTTTGGAAGAAGTTGATCAATGCTATTTATGGTAATAATGGAGGGTGGAGACCTCCCTCTTGCATTCAGGGGCATATGGAAGAGTATCAGTAATTTATGGGAAGAATTTTTAACAATATTCTAAACTACAAGTTGGAAGTGGACAGAGAATCAAGTTCTGGAGTCTGGACTGACTTATGGATAGGGAGGAATGCTTGAGATCTAAAAGTCCCTATTATGTTCAGTTACTCTGTTAACAAGGCTGGAACTATACGGACTACAAAAAACTTGTACAATTTTAAGGGAGTTAAGATTGCATGTAGGCCAGTAGTTCACATCCGAACGCTGGTGTTCGATATTTGCATATTGCCTTGGGCGTGGGTGAATCTCCATTTGGTTCTTCTGGTCACCCTCATTCTTCATAGCTATAAATCTTCTCAGCTCATATCATTCAAGAAAGAAAAAGGGAGATTAATTCTTTTCCTTATAGATCCCCTCTTGTAGATGGAATTCAAGCACATTAACATGTAGAATCTGTAAAGTGTGTTGAGCTGCAAAAGATTGATTTAAGTGGGTTATAATAGTTCAGAAAGGACCTTTAAGACACAAATCTGGCTTGTATTGGGTAGATAAATGTCACAAACAAAACTGGGGGCCGTGAAAGGCACTTAGTGGGTTTAGTTCCCTCCAAGCGAACAAACTCATCTTTAGCTAAATTCAGGACATCCATCAACCAGTCTAACTCATTCACATTATATAAACTATCATGCACATGCAATTGTTAGTCTTTAATTAAAACATAACAAACCATCGTCAAGCTATTACAAGTCTCTAAACATAACTACAATCCTCGATCTTGTCAAGGAGTGCATATAGCACCTCTAGAATATCTGAAACGGATTAAACTGTTCTAAACAACTGAAGGGAAGGAATGGACTCACAGCTTCCACAAAATAAATATTTGGGGCTTACTAAAGTTACTAGTCAGCTGCTACTGAATTTGAAACATGAGCAGTAAGGAATGAATCCACCGACTCAACAAGTGATAACCATATCCATAATTTTTATTGACAAGCTACAAGTTCCAAACAGTGTCGGATCTAAGATTTTGGGTTCGTGGGTGCTTAAGGTTTTTTGACGTAAAGTTACTAAACATTATATAAGTACACAACTATATGAACACGACGGCGAAAAAAGTTAACATGAAAACTCATATTTTAATATTATGGACACTGTGAATCTGTTATGAGAATGCAATTAGCCCCTGTTAGCGGAAACGTAAAAGAAAGAACACAAGATTTAACGTGGTTCGGATCAAAATAAT